CTGGTCTGCTGGGGACCGTCTCCAGCAGACCAGGGACAACCGGAGCAAAGCCGGGGAGGCGGAGGGGTCCCGCGCCTCTGAGGCTTTGCTCTGGCAAAGCCTCAGAGGTGCGGGACTCCGCCGCCGCTGCGGCTTTGCTCCCGGTGTCCCTGGTCTGCTGGAGACGGTCCCCAGCAGACCAGAGGCACTGGGAGCAGCTTTTCTCGCCCCCGAGGTCGAGGTGGCGGGACTGCTGCGCTCTGGGCGAGAGAGCCCCATAAGTCGGATCCGCGTAACTCGGGGACTGCCTGTAATAGATTGGGAGAGGCAATAACTTAATGAAAGAGGATGTGGTTTGGTTAGGGAAGGAAACACATAATACATTTTCATCAGAAAGCTCAAGGAATCAATAACCCTAGTTTGTAAACAATAAAAAAGTAAATCAGTGAGTTTGTGGTGGGGCATTTAAGTGTTTTAACAGTAATTAATTTCCTACTTTTCCATGGTTCTGTACTTTCTCCTGTCTAGTGAAATTAGACATATGACACCTTTCATTGAAAGTAACTCTTGTTCTTGTCATTTTAGGGGCAGATCACTGATAATATGACCCCTTGATCAGTTAACATTAACAACTTATTTTGGAAAACTTCAACTTTTTTTTCCTCCACAATTATAGAATAAAAATTCAATGATTTTCCTTTTTTTTTTCCCTCTCTGTCTCTGTCTCTGTCTCTGTCTCTGTCTCTCTCTGTCTCTCTCTGTCTCTCTCTCTCTCTCTCTCTCAGAGTATGGTTATCTTGGAGAACACCACAGAAATAATTAGCTTGAATAATACTGGAGTGTTCCAGCAAAGATTGGTTTTTTTTAGCCCATCAGAAAGACAGATTTAAATAATGTGAATAAATATGTACAGTAAAGCTTAAAATACCTACCATTCTTGTGATATAAATAGTGAGAACTCAGATCTTGTGCACAGTTAACCATCTGGCTATTTATATGCAAATGATTTTGGCATTCTATAACTGTCTCCACATTTGTTTTTACAGTACTGGATACCAGTGTATTTACTATTCACCTGAAAACATAGCCAAGGCAAAAGAAGTTCTCAGCAACATCAATCATCTACAGCCCCTCATATCAAGCCATGCAGACCTGCTACTTAATTCTGCAAGACAGCATTCTCCAGACAGCTTGAATAATTCTTTAAAGATGCTTTCTGAAAAAGTAAGATTCAAATCTTTACTGCAATGGAAAATGGAATGAGCAGATGCCTAGCTGCTGTCTTTTTCTGCATAAATTGACTTTCAGAGCATCAGGAAATGTTAAATATGCTCTGTTAAAATCAACTTCAAAATGTTGCCATAGGAAAAGAACACACTAGTCATATTTCCATTTGCATTATTACCGAACATTTCTTTAAGCTTTTCATGGCAGAAATACTGGCATTTATACAGCAAGCATCTATTTGAAAGTATAATTTTTATTTCATGTCTTTATTTTCCTCTAGTGACCACACACAGAGAACTTACCAAACATCAAGTGTCTTGAATTTTGAGAAATGAAAATGGATATTGGTTCCCATTCCATGAAACTTCTTACTACTTACTGAACCTACCACTTCTAGTGGAGACCATTCTTGTGCATCAACTCTGAGCTAATAGCATGACAATGACCATGAAAGGCAGTGTGGTCTAGGGGAACAAGCACAGTCATGTGTGTCAGGAAGTTTGAGTTTAACCCTGCTTCTACACTATGTAGCCTTGCACGTGTTTTCATGTTCCTTCCTCAGTTTCCCTGTTTGTCTATTAGGATAATGCCCAACATCTGCACATGGTCAATGAGGGGTTAAACTTCAACAACAACAATAGACTAGTAGCACCTTAAGGACTCTCAAAACATGTAGATGACATCATGAGCTTTCGTGGGCACAGCCCACTTCTTTAGTTAATGTCTGTAAAGTATTTTGAACATGCTATGTAAATATTAAGTATTTGTCACAGGGTAACTAGTCCCTGTGAGTAGAACTAAATCCTGCTCCTCTGTGTCAAAGTAAATGAGCCAAATTCAGCTGGTTAAAAGCAGCTGTGCTATACCTGAGCCTGCACAAGACAGAAGTTGGTAGGTGGAAAGGAGTATTTAGGACAGGCTGTGCCTGGGGAAGGGAAGCTAATGCCCGGGGTAGATCAAGGGGCCAGGATTTCCTGGCTGCAGTCATGGGGAAGCTACTGAAAAAAGGAGATAGAACTGGCTACAGCTAGGAAACTGCTCTGGGAAAGGAGTGACTTCAAAGACTGTGTTTCTGTTTTATTAGTTGCCTGTTTTAAGAGAATAAACCTTCATAAAGGAGACTGGGTGTGGTGGCAGCAGTTAGAAGTTGGGGAGAAGCTCAAGCTGCGCCAGTTTGGTTACTGTGACCACAGCCTGATACGCTATACGCTCTGTAATGTGGTCTTCCTCTGGCTTCATGGTACTACCAGTAACCATTTCACTTTCTCTTCAACTGTTGTGAAGCAGAAAACATTGTGATCTGTTGAGCAGCATTGCACTAACTTTGTGGGAGATAGACATTTGAATATTGAGCTCAGTCTCATTCTGTGAAGGTGTAAGTACAGCGCATTCACGTATGCCTAAGAAGTCAGATGTTAACAAAGAAATGTGAAGACAACAAGGAAGCAGTACACAAGAAGTGCACATTCTGGAAAGAAGAGGAGCCAAATGTTGCTCACAGTTACAGCTGTGCAAATTCCATAGTAACTCCATTTAGAGTAATACAGCCATGGTGGAGTTGAGTGACATAACGGAATGCAGAATTTTGCCTGAAAAAATGGGAGCAATTATTGTATTATTGCAATTATTGCTGGCTACTCAGTGATTAGTATTGATGGGACTCTGGGGGGCTGGGAGGGGTCATAGCAAAATCTCTTGGCAAGAGCAGAGTTCTGATATGAGAGGATTCAAAAGAGGAGGAGAACACTTGTGCTGGGATAAAAATAAGAGATTTTTATGATGCAGATTTCAGTACCTTTCCTGCTTAGGAAATAGTTTGTCCTGACCAGGTTCTCTCCTCTGCCTCTCACTTCCTGTAATTCTTTGCCTAACTGAGCAGAAAGAAAGTAGCAACCCAGTGAAATGAGGCAGAAGACAGTTGTATAAATAACACTGCACTGGAAGAGGAGCTTACTTAGAAACTGGACAAAAACTCCCTTCGGAAAAGATGACCCAGTGTGATGGGTCTCTGGCTATACAGGAGTGAAAGTCATCTTGTAATGCTAGACCTCTAGTATGAAGGAGTTTGGGTTGTGCTTGACAGCTCCTGACCACCACCAACCTATGGGGTGCTGAAATCCTCTGGTCTGGGGTATCCATTGCTTACTTTGACTTGCAGTTTAACAATAGGTGCACACCATTCTCTTAGTCCCTTGGAATCATTTCCCTGGGTTATCCAGCCTCTGACACTGGCTCCTCATAGAACTAGCAGGCCTGCTGTTCTGAAAAGAATGGAAAACACCAGCCTGTCAGATTCAACTCAGGCTCAGTACTTTGCTTAGTACCACAGCACTGTGGTGTATAAATAATAATAAAATCACCCATCAAATATTCAAGTGATCCTGAGTAGGAATATTAGAAACAAATGGTTAAATATAAGATCAAATTGTAACACATTTTCTAGAGACTAAATTCAACGTACAGGTTAATCTCCTGTCTAAAGAAGCTTTATCTCACCCAAATTCTTTTGCAGCATTTTCAGGCAAGATTGGCTGAGATCCTGTTCTGATTAATGTGGTGGTGTTTGTTTTCTCCTCCGGCATATATATCCCCAAAGTTCACTGTCTGACACTAAGGACAGGATAAGTACTCAAGGTTTGTTTTTCCTGTATACTGCTTCCATATTGATGTCACATCTCTTTGTTAACATCTGGCTTCAGATGTAAAAGGTATCCACTATGCTTACAATGGTTAATTTACATTCCAACAGAGAGATGTACATTTCTTATTTCCTCTCTGGAAGAAAACATGTTGTTCTTTGCTAGTGACCAATGCCTTGATGTAGATTTTAAAAATGTCAACATATATACATGGCTGCTTACGTAAAATCTGTATATACAGTACCTTCCTTAATGATATTGATGAACATTGTGTTCCCCAGTTTTCAGTTAAGACCTCATGTGGCATTCTTTGATGAACCACAATGTATGCACCATAATCAAGATCTTCCTTGCCCTCCATTCCTGTGGGGTTCTTTTAAAAACTTCATAAATAGTTTAAAATTGTGCCAGATTTAAGTGGTAGTTTAGTTGTGTAGACTAATATGGACTTTAAGGACTAAGATGAAACCGCTAGTTAGCATATAAATGAAGTTTTCCAAAAGTGAAAAGTTAATACTCTAACACAGAGTGGCCCTCTGACATCCCTGAAACTTTCCATACAGACGGTAGCACTGAGACCGAGAACTAAGAGAATGTTTCTTCTAACGTTTGAGATGCATTGACAGAGTTTCATGATGAAACATTTATAATGCCTTTCAGTACTTTTCTTTATTCTAGAAAATACTACTACATCTTGAACCTCTGTAGACCAGGACACTCTGGTCAGGCATCATCTGTGGTCCAGCAAGACCATTGATGTTCCTGGACAAGAGAGCCCAGGCTGTCGAGGTGCAGAAGCACAGTCGGACTGGTAGTCTATCTCGGTGCAGCTGGGCTGTCCAGTGGGGCTGGGAGTCCAGCACATTGGGAGCAGGGCTGCCCGATGTGGCAGACAAGGAGAGGTAGGGACCATCAGGGTAGCAGGGCTTGTGGCCGGTCCAGGGCTGGGGGGACAGTATGCGGGGTCAGATGTGATCTCTCCTCGTCTGGAAAAATCCTTCATCTGGTAGGGTAGTTTCATGTGTGCCCAATACATATTTAAATGAGTTTTAACATAATGTAAACTTATTTCTATTTTTTGATTATTCCGAATAGGTCAGAATTCAGGGATCTGCCCAATAATGGGATTTCTTTATTTTGCAACAAAAGTTCATTGCTTGGGCCATTAATTCACATTGAAATTTTAAGACAAAGACAACTTATTTCTATCTTAAAACCTTTTCCCAGTGCATGTACCTACATTCAACCCACACGTGCATTCTGACTTTATTTCTATTAGCATCATGTCTTAAAAAGAGCATGAAATGTAAAAATAGCGTAAGATAAGGAACGTAGACATTGTGCTCCCTTTTTAGCAGTCAGAGAACTCTGCTTCAGAATCAGTTATGGCATAACCCTTTTACCAGCAACCAACAAAGAGGTCATTTTTGGGGCTGGGATTACTACTATGTGTGACCCCGACCACTTGAAACATTGGAGTGAGTCTGTGTATACAGACACGCTGTTTCAAAAGATATTAGCTAGGAGGAAGCGAGTAATAAACATATCTGGTATTGAGAAAGAAAATATGGCAAAATATTGCATTAAATACAAGAAAAAAATATTTTGATTTTGGTTTAGGCATAGAGTTTTATTGGGTGCACCTCAGACAAAAAATTCAACAAAAAGCCCATTATGGCAGTGGCTGCAGGATTTTGGTTGTTTTTTTCCCAGTGCATTGGGCAAGGTTTACCATTCATAAAATATCATTCAGTATTTGCTTCAGTGATTCTTTTTGATTTTTTTTTTAAATTTCATTCATAAGGACTAGCCTCTTTATGTAACAGTTTTTGTTAATTAAAGATGTCCTTTTCTATATACAAATATATCAGCATTTGCAGCTTGCATAGGCTTGCTGAATACATTTTCTAGCTAAGCCTTTTTTCTTTTTTATATTTTTATCAAAATTATTCGTTAGTCGGGTATCTGAAAGCATTTGCAAAGTTTGCATTTCTTTGTGCATACTGGTCTTGGAGGGATTAGAAAAAATGTATAAATAGTGGTGGTGTATGAATTTAGCTGTACATAAGAAAATTTTCTATTAGGACCATTCCTGTTGTTAATCCAATAGAACCCTTGAACACAATTTAATTACTAAAAACAGTTTTGAGTCTGTGTGAAGGAAAATGAAAGCTCTCATCCCATTTCTATGCCAGTTGCTTCAGTTTATTTTTTGTAAAAACATTTATACCATAATTATTTAATAATAATATATAGTTCCTATATAGCAATTTTTATCAGTAAATCTCAAAGCACTTTACAGAGAAGATAAAAAAAATTCCCCATTTTGAAACTGAGGCACAAAGAAATAAAATGACT